TTTTAAAACCCACAATTGAAAAGCAAACAAACCATTTTTGAAAACACAAGTGAGCAAGTATCTAAGAGCCCATGGATAACCATGGATAGAAAGGGTGCTAACACCTTCCCTTTCTATAATCTACCTCCCGAACCGAGAGCAATCTCTTTAAGGAATTTTTCTGTGCTTTTGTCCTTTCCATTTGGAGAAAATAAAAGACGGTGGCGACTCTTGCTTACCGCGACATTTCGCGAACCAGCGTTAAACAGTCAGTTCCAGATCCACCGATCACAATCGGCATTGAAGAATCACCGGAATTCTCTCCAGCAAGCTTTAATTGAAGCACCTCCATAGACCTAACAGCGATTCGAGGTGAAGGTTTGAAGAGATAAGGTTAAGACGCGGAGTTCGGTGGTAGAAATTGAGGTTTTTTGGCGATGATAACAGTGGTTACAGTGGAGATTCATTGGAAATAAGGAGAAGACAAAGTTGCTATGGTTTGTGAGGAGAAGAATCGCGGTCGATGGCGAACAGAAGAAGGAGATAGCATCGTGTCCTTGTTATCTGAAGACGGAGATCGTAGAAGAATGGATGGTCGTCGTTCACGTTGAGAAGAAGCTCTCACGCTGAATTTGAAGGGGCACAATGCTTCTCAAACCTAATCCCTCTTTCAATTTTTTTAATTATTTATTAGCTTAAATTTTGAATTTAATAAAAGTAGAAGAATGATGTTGAAGGTTTTTCTTGCTGGTATATAATTGGACTGGGCCAGATTGTGTTTGATTTTTGGAAATCAAGTGTAGCAACAACAACAAAAATCTGCTTGCTAGATGGGCCTTGCATTTTTCTGGCATCATACCATTGAATCCTGCTTACACCCTCATAAAGCTTCATTTCCTCTATTTTGTTTCAATTCCATTTTTAATTAATTGTGATGATACATTTGTTTTGAGATATTGGTAAATAAAAGAGATTTAGGTGAAGATTTCACGAAGCTCTAAAGCTAGCCAGGAGCATAGTTTTTATCAAGCAAATTCAAGGAGATTTTAGTAGAGTTTTCTTATTGCTTGCGTGGTTTCAAAGAGCCAGCGGACCTTCTCCGTTAGGTATTATCATGGATTCACTTTTATTCCTCATTTCCTCACTTTAACACTTTTCTAAATACCATGAGAAGTAAGAAATAAAGAGTGTGCGTTTGAAGTCACTGTTTAAAGATTTGTAGCAGGCATTTCGCACTTCATTTGTTATATGTGTTGCGCTTGTGTTTGTTTCTTTGGTTGTTGATCGATGAGCCACTCAATTTAGGAATTGAGATCACGACTTCACTCTCAGTGCATGCTCTCTATATGATTTTATCGCTTTCCTTTATTTCTTGTTGATCGATGAGTCACTCAATTTAGAAATTGAGATCACGACTTCGCTCTCATTGTATGTTCCCCATAAGATAGTTTTGTTAGACTTTATTTGGCATGCTAGCCTAGATATGATCTCTATAGGTGTTCTCTCTTGAGCTTATTAGCTTGTTTGCTTTATCCTTGTACATACCATGTTCCCTTAGAATGCGCTTGCTCTGTTCCGATGCAAGTTAGACCTTAGGTTGTAAACCATGCATGCTAACATTAGGTAGATGTTTCCCTTTTGTTAATCCAAACCTTAGGACCACCATTGTATGATAACACTAGGTTTAGAAATAGGCTAGTCTCCCTTAGACTCTCTTCTTCCCCTTTTGCATATGCATTTAAAACTAAAACTCTTTTCCTTAGCAAATCAAAAACATGCTAATAACACTTAAACACTTTTCAAGGTAATAAAATACAAACCAACTCAAACCTTTTTGTGCGCCCAAGCACCTTCTCTCTAAAACCCTTTTCAGGTAAGGACATGATTAATTTACTTTTGTGCCAATACATAAGTCTCCAAAGGTCGAGCTGCGGCAGAAGGCGGAATTGACATTGTCCATAAAAAACACAAAACAAACAAAGACATGTGAGCCGAACTACGGTAGCTCTAATTCCTCAAAAAAGATACATATGCATTGGGGTAGGGCCCAAGCGAGTACAACTTTATTTTCCCTACATTATTTTCCTCTTTCTTTTGCATGCATTCTCCCTTTAGCAGTAATAAATAGTAAGCATAGATTCTAACACACCCATAAGATAGTCAACAAGAGTGGATACCATAGAGTACTACGGACGTGTGGGGTGCTAATACCTTCCCCTCACGTAACAGACTCACTTACTCGATCTCTCGGTCGCAAGTCCGTGATTTCTCCCTTCTCAGGTTTTCTCGATGTTTACCTTTCCCTTCATGTGGGATAAAAGACGTTCGATGACGACTTCATTGTTTGATGATTTTCAGCCGACTGTTTCAATTGTCAAGTTGAAATTTGATCAATATAACTTCACCCTCCAAGCCAGAGATGGTGGATAGTTGCTCCATTCTTTTTACCTCCACGAGAGAGATGATAGCCATGTGCTCTACCTTTTCAGACTGTAGTTGAGATGTAGTTTTCTTTTCCTTTTCTCCTAATTGACATACCTCTTCACTTTTAAGACATAGCTCATTGTAAGAAGCAACAAGTTCTTCAAAGGTCAATTCCTCACAATCTGAGTCTTCATCAGAGTCACAAATCCCAGTCAAGGCGGTGACCTGTTTGGCAGCTTCTTCTTCTGGATCACTTTCAGAGTCTTCTTCTCACCAAGTGCAGATAAACTCCTCTTCTGCTTCTTAAGATAATTTGGACATTCAGCCCTTATGTGTCCAAAACCCTCACATTCATTACACTGAACTCCTATTCCTTGATTGGTCTTCTCTTCAGGTTTACCCCTTCTTCCAAAATCCTGATTTTTGCTGTTGTCGGATGACTTGTTCTTGACATTTGATCTTGACTTCCAGTTCACCTTATTCATCACTTTGTTGAATTATCTTCCAAGTAACACAATAGCATTGGATATCCCTTCTTCTATATCTAAGTCACACTCATCTTATAGATCATCAGTACTAGAGACAAATGTAATGCTCTTATTCTTTTCAGGCTTTTCATTGATCCCTAGTTCAAAGGTCTATAGAGATCCCATAAGCTCATAAACCTTCATGTTGTTTATATCCTGGGCTTCTTCAATGGCAGTCACCTTCATGTCAAACCTCTTTGGAAGAGATCTGAGAATTTTTCTCACCAACTTAACTTCAGACATCTTCTCCCCCAGAGCACCTGAGGCATTTGCTATCTCAATAATATTCATGTGAAAGTCATGAATACTCTCATCCTCCTTCTTCTTAAGTTCTCAAACTTGGTGGTAAAAATTTAGAGCCTAGACATCTTCATCTTAGACGCTCCTTCATGAGAAGTCTTCAATATCTCCCAAGCTTCTTTAGCAACAATGCAATTACTTATCAGTCTGAAGATGTTTTTATCCACTCCATTAAACAAAACATTCAAGGATTTAGAGTTTCCTTGAGATGATTTTTCATTTTCATCATTACAGTCTTCTTCAGCCTTTTCAACATCAATAGCCTTCCCATCCTGACCTACAACCTTGGGTTGATCCCATCCCTTGACCACATATTTCTAAGCCTTGTTGTTCAAGGACATGATGAAAGCCACCATACGAGTTTTCCAATAATCATAATTGGTTTCATCAAGAATGGGTGATATGTTCAAAAATCCTCGTTCCTTGTCCATTGTACCAAAAAATATCTTCCCTGAATCTCACCCAGAGTCAGAGCAGAATGCCTTCCTGATACCAATTGAAATTCTGGTAATCAGATCTCAGATGTCCTAAGAGATATCGAGACACTGATCTATGAACAACAACACAATGAACAATATAAAATAATAAAGTAGTGCAGAAAATTAAAGGAACACACATAATTGTTAACCCAGTTTGGTGTACAACAACAACTACTATGGGTACTACCAAGCCAGGGACGAAATTAACTAGATAATATCAATTTGTATACCTACAACAAACTCTCACTAGTTTACCATCTACTCAATTAATCACTACCCATGCTTAACTTCTACCTAAGACTCACCTAGGTATGAGATCATTCTCAAATCTCTTTCAGTCACAAACAGTGACAAGAACACAATTCAAAAGAATTAGAAGACAACCTTCAAAAACACACAATCATTCACTACTTAAAAGCTTTAGAGTGACTGACAGAACTTACAACTCAATAGAACAGTCCTACTATTTTATCAAGATGATATTAGAGAGGCTCACAATTAACACATACAAACCCTAACAAAAAACACACGTAAGTTCCACACAAAAACTAGGTTTACAACAATCTATTTAAAGCAATCTTTTGGACTAGATTGAGCTTTAAAAATGCATAAAATTAGCTACTAAAAATCTACAGATACTTCTACATAAAAATAAGATCTCAATCATTAGTTTCCTAAATTATCTCCATAATTAGAAACTAAGAATACTCCTTGAATTAAGCTTGAATCTCTTAATCCTTAAATTGAGCGCCATATAGGATATCATAATATTCATAGAATATTATGCATCTGTAATAAACTAAAAACATCCAACTGCCCAGCTGTACACATGCGAGATGTCAAATTATTTTGCATAGGACATCTTGTTCAACATGTTTCTTCATTTGATAAAACATCTTATTTCAACATGTTTCTGCTAAGTTAGTTTTACCAAATATAATGTCAATCACAAAAAATAGAGAATTAAAAGAGTATTTGCTACTTGATTTGCAACGCTTGGAGGACGAGGTAAAAGAGCCTGATTGATCTCCGTTTGAGCGGAAATATCTATGGCAGTGACTTCGCATAATGCGGCAGAACGAGTAACTCTAGATCCAACCATAACAGAAAAGTATTGAAGTCATGATTCTAGAAATTCAGGAAATCAAAGATGATACAGTACTTGATTAGGTCGAACCCGATGGATCTTCGTGTTCGATTTCGAGAACTCTTGATCTGATAAATTAAAAAGGATATGAAGTAATGAATCAAAGAGCGAACATGAGATTATGGAAAACGCTGGAATTAGAAGTTAATTCTCACAGACGACGCCACTATTCCGTTGTAGAACTAGAATTGATTGGTGAATCTGTGGTTGTGGAGGATTGTAGTGGATATGAACTTCAGATGCGATGTATAGGGGGCTGACCTGCAATGTTAGAACTCCAACGCTCAAGTTAGTATATGAGAGAGAAGAGTGAATGAAAATTGAATTTGAAATTGTGAATCTGTGTTCTTCACGCTTATTCTTTATATAGTGAGGCAGTTATAACAACACATATTTGCTAGTGCATGTGATGCGAAGAGTTATTGAAAGTATCTGGGACTTGGACCACTCATTCTTTCGTATGATTGCTCTCTTGAATTGAGAAGGTTTTAGACAAATTACAACTCCTTTTGAATGACCGGTCGGTGCCAAATTATGGTAGGCCCACAACACCTTATTATATCTTTATCCAACACAACTCTTATAACAAATTACTAGCATGACACAATAATTCAAATGGTTTGCATTGATTTTATCAAAATGAAATACCTTGTTATGTATTTAATATCTGTATTGATTTTATAATTGATTTATTATCTTTTATTTAAATTTATTTTTAAAAAAATATTGAGTCCTTTTAAATTTAAAAAATTTAAAATATTAAAATTTTGTATTATAAATTTGCATTATAAATCTAAATTAAATTTTTTTGATTATAAATATATATTTTTTTAAATCTAAAAAGTGAATACAATCCTACAATTTTTTAAAATATTCAAAACTTTGTTTACAATTGGTCTAAAATAATTGATGTATTAAATCTAAAATTAAGATCAAATACATAAACATTCTTTTGACCAATATTTTATTTATTTATATTTATGTTTATTTTTTTATTGTAGAGCCTAATAAAAATAAACAGAAATCTATTTTAAATTTTCAAAAAAATTAAAATATCAATTATTGAATAAAATAACAAGATATCTAACAATGATAAATAATGGCTCATCGCACACCAGATTATATGCTTCCATAATCCGAAAATTATCCAATTTAAATTTCATTAATAATTTTATAACAGTAATATACTGATAATGTAAAAATAATTTATATATTATCATGTAATAAAAAACTATTATTTAATTATATAATTTATTTAAAAATAACATTATGACTTAGTATTTAATATAATTGTGATTGTTTGAAAGTGTAAAATTATTTTGTGTATTTTTTTTGTCTAATTTTATTTATAGTTTTATAATATCCACCGGATCAATAAAATCTAAACGGTCAAGATCTTTTCTCGGCCCAGAGCACTGATTATAAATACGCTGCTAGCCCTCGTACATCTCTCACAACTTACTTTAGGGTTTAGCATTGCGGCTATAGATAGCTGAAATTCACACATAGCTCTGAAATTTCATTTAACATTTTTATTTCTTTAATTTTGAGTTTTCAAATTTCTTCTCCATAGCATAGTTATTGTTCTTGTGATTCTCGTGATTCTGTATTTTGGATCTGGTTTTTTTCTGTTCTAGATGTCATATTGAAACTAGGCTATATTGTACCGAGAGAAGGGTGGTAAAAAAACCAATACCTTTGATCTTGAATGTGCCATTTCGGCTATAGCTAGATTAAATCCAAGAAGCTTACTGGCCGGTTATTGTGAGATTCCTTTGGATCTCTGTCAATAAATCTGCTTACCGAGTTTCTAACATTTTCAATTTATTTTATATTAATCTTACTATTCTTTTCAAAATTATTATTTATTTTTGGTGAATCATTTTTATATGACTTTACAATATTTGTGTTTATTCTTGAGATATGTATGTATGTATGATTCATTCTAATATCTTTAAGCTCATAAATAATATGTTTAGAAAAAATCTTTACAAAGATACATGTTTTTCGAAAAAACAAATTCTTGGGAAGTAAGCACATATATTGGGTTTGATGGGTGATTGGTATGATGAGTTATACCAATATTCAGCCACGAACATGTGATCACTGACAATGGTATTAGGCAAACCACGAAATCGATAAATCTCAAACATGAACATAAGTGCTAATGACACTGTAGAAAAAATGAATAAGGATGGCCACAAAGTGAGCATACTTTGTCAACAATAACCCAAATCGTTGATTTTCCTCGAGCAAGAGGAAGTTTGGTGATATAGCCCATAGCAATATCCTCCCCATACTTGGGTTGGAATGTTTACCAGATTCAACAATACATATGGCTGCTGAGTGGATGATATGTGTTGTTGGCAAATGGAACATTCTTGAACCCATGTTTTAACATTCTTTGCCACTCAAGGCCAAGAGAAAGCTACATAAAGGAATTCTGGAGTCCTTTTCACTCTTGAGTGACCTCCAATGGGGCTATTACGGAATTCCTAAAAAAGTTGGGAGTGCCACTGACCTCCAAAAGGAAAGAAAAGGCTAAAGGTGCATTAGTAGTCCCAAACTTGCTTGCTAACTGCTTGCCAACGGGGTCAGATGCATAATGTTGTTGAAGCTCATGCAATATCAGTGGTTGTACACTACAAACAATGTTGAAAAGCGACATCGTAGGCTCACCCTTGCAGGACAAGAAATCTGCGACCATATTAGTGTTGTCTGAACATTCTTGAACCCATGTTTTAACATTCTTTGCCACTCAAGGCCAAGAGAAAGCTACATAAAGGAATTCTGGAGTCCTTTTCACTCTTGAGTGACCTCCAATGGGGCTATTACGGAATTCCTAAAAAAGTTGGGAGTGCCACTGACCTCCAAAAGGAAAGAAAAGGCTAAAGGTGCATTAGTAGTCCCAAACTTGCTTGCTAACTGCTTGCCAACGGGGTCAGATGCATAATGTTGTTGAAGCTCATGCAATATCAGTGGTTGTACACTACAAACAATGTTGAAAAGCGACATCGTAGGCTCACCCATGCAGGACAAGAAATCTGCGACCATATTAGTGTTGTCTGGATTATACAAATCTCCCCGTCAAACCCTAGTAGCTTGGTTATTAATTTATGTTGGGTCGGGTTTTTGATAGTTTGAGTTAAGAATTCCTTCAAACTGCGATGTTTTGTGTAAATGCGGAAGTGTTTGCTTACAAGGTAATGTTGCCATTTTTTAATAAGTGATGTGATCTCAATCATCTCTCATTTGTAAGCTGAGGAAACATTCAATAAGGGACATAACTTACAGCTAAATAAGGTAGTAATGTAGTTCTGTTGAGATAACACTGCATATAGTTGTGCCCATATGCATCTGTGGTCACATCAAAAGATTGAGAAAAAACAAGGATTCCTAAAATAGGTAGAGAAGTCGTAACAACCATGAGTGCTTCAAAGGCACAACCATGAGTGCTTCAAAGGCCTGTAATGCGTCATCATCCCAACCAAACTTTTTTTAGCAAGGTTGTTAAAGGTTCCGTATAGGAAGCCCTAATGCAAAACAAAACACTGTGAGACCCAAGAATTTGTGAAGGCCAACGAGATTTAATGTAGGAGGGCAAGACTAAATAGTCATCAATTTCTCTGGATCAGCCACAATGCCCAAGTTTGAGAAAATATGACTCAAATAAGCAATGCGAGCACTACAAATTCACACTTAGAAAGTTTGGCAAACAACTGTTGACACTCTAATATGCCTAGGAAATTGTGTAAGTGTGATATGCGAGGAACTCAATATGGGTTATATACCAATATATCATAAAAAAATATGAGCACAACGTTCTCTTAATACCTTGTTCATAGTCACTTGGTGTCGAATGGGCATTGGACAACCCAAATGACATCATGAGAATCTCAAAATGGTCGTCTACAGTGCGAAAAGAGTCTTGAAACAATCATCAGATGCTACTCTAGTTTGGTGATACCTCAAACAAAGTTCCAGCTTAGAGAAACCTTTTTCTCCTTGGAGTTCATTCAATAGTGGGAATCATGATGTGATCCTTGACTGTGATATTGTTAAGGGCTCGATAGTCTACACAAAGGCCCCATGATCTGTTGTTATTTTGAACGAGCAATGTTGGAGATGAAAAAGGGTCGGTGATGAGGCAGATGATACCATTTGTCAACATCTCTCTAATCACAATGGTCATAATATCCTTCTAAAAGTTGGGGTATTGCTTAGGGTTTAACATTGATTGGTTTAGTTTAGGGGGAAGAGGTGGATGTGGTATTTTAGATTTATATTTTATGGGTAAACCATGAGATGTGGTGAAAACATATGTAAATTTAGTGAGGATATGAAGGCATTATCAAGGTGCTGAGGTGAAGGTTTGTTTGTGGTTTCAATTTGGGATACAAAGATGGTGTGAGCTAATGTGATCACATATGTGAAGAGGAAATGACACTATTGTTAAAAAGTGGTTAAGTTGGGTTGATTGGATGTGTTGCTGGTGAGTGTGATGGGTGGATGGTTGTAGGCAAGTTAAATGGAAGGTATAGAATAATCAGAGAGGAAAGACCCCAAGGTTTGTAACCATTATACTCCTAAGACTAGGTCTGCACCATGGATTGGAAAGATGAAGAAAGGAATGTGAAAACCCTATTTATCAAAGACCACTAGAACATCGATGCAAAAGCATTGCAAGTGATAGTTTTCATGTTATCAACCATAACAGAAAAAAAGAGTGATTGCCACCATAGGTAAGCCTATAATTTCCGCTACCCTAGGTTGTATAATGTTGAGCGAGTTTCCTGAATCAATCAGGATTGTAACCTCCTATTCACCACACAACCTTGAATGCATAATGTACAGAATAAAGGTGGGCCCACCAAGGCTTCTTGAGACAATTGAAATTGTTCTAAGGGCGATGGAGGTAAAGGTGTCGTTAATGATCTCAGAATGGTCAACATCAATGGAAGGGACTCCACCGTCGTAGTTTTGTTAGCAAAAGCATGTGGAACCACGTCTTCATCCGATTTTTCCATGAATAACAAAAGATATTGTTTTTGTACACAACGGTGGTTTGTGTGAAAATTTTCATCACATTTGAACATAAATCCTTAGATCTGCATTCTTGTTGCTTGCCTGAAATCAGATGACAAATGGGAACTTCTAGTGGTGGTCCCAAGAGTGAAGGTTGTGGGTTGGTAGGGGATCATTTTGTGGATGAATCGATAGGGGAAATAGGTTTTGTGTGGCTTATTTTTTTTGCCTCAACAAGTTTGGCTAAATCAAATGCTTGGGTCTAGGAGGAAGGTTTGAGGACTGTGAGTTTATGGTGGATTTATTCTAGAGGCTAGAGAGAACAATTGCGATGAGTGGTGGACGAAAGGCCGATGACACAGTTAGATAAAGCTTTAAATTGTTGTTAATACACGAATACAGATCCACTTTCTTGAAGTTTATAGAGAGTGGGTTCATGATTTTTGAATGATGGAGGTCCAAAACGAATCTTAAGAGTATAAAGAAATTCAGTCCAAGTGGTGAATACGTGGTTGGAGTGTAGCCAGTTGAACTAAATCAAGGTCAGCCCCTGAAGGAAGACTGAATTCAAAATAAGACAACAAGGTGGTGGGGTGTCAGAGAGGTCAATGTAGTTTTCAACTTTGAAAATACAGTCAAGTGGGTCTTTGTTATCGAAGGGAGATAAGGTTATTTTTGGGATTTTTATGGTTAATGGTTTGAGTGGTGCCCCAAATGGGATCCAAATTGTAATGTGACTTATTTGGATGAGTATTTGGGATGTGAGAAATTCTTAGAAATCAAATTGTTGCTTTATAGTATTTTTGATGTTCAGTTGCATTTCTTTGAGTTGAGATGTAACCTCAAATGTAGGTTTGTCATCCTTTTTTCGGTTTTTGGGCTGAGTTGCATTTCTTTGAGCTGAGATGTAACCTCAAATGTAGGTTTGTCATCATCTTTGAGCTGAGTTTCATTTCTTTCATTTTTTCCTCATTTCATTTTCCTGCACCGCGAGAACAAAAAATCGGAGAACACAACCACTACCTTTTCAAACTGAGAGAGATTAAATCGGAGAACATGAAGAGAAGACTTTCGATTCATCGTTACAACACATTGAATAACTTACAAGTAAGTTATTTGGTTTTCATGCAAAAAAATACCAATTGGACAACGTTTGCCAAGGTTCTCTGGTTTGTTGAACTCAAACTGGCGTTTTCCAAGGTTCTCTAGTTTTATTGTATGATTTTCAGATAACTTGATCATATGTTATCTGGTTCATGTTTTGTTATTCATTTTTTATTTTATTTTTAGTGATGCACAAAAGAGGATGCCGGAACGACGACATTATGCGACAAAGAGGTGAAGGATGGCAATCTTAACATAGGGTGGATGGAGAGGGACATCAGATAGCTGCATGTGAGGTTGGTCCACAATAGTTGGAGTTCCTTGGAGGGATGTTCGATACATCTCTTCTGGCGACGTACCGGGGTCATGTTGCTCGTCATTTATGGTTCAACGTGTAACATCCCAATTTTACCCCAAGCAATTATCGGAAAATCAGAGTATAAAAATTTCCATTATAATCAGGATGTCACACATTCAACAAAACACATAAACCTGTCATGCTTTTAGAATAGATACATAACACTTAAGAAGCGGAATAAACACAACTCATAAATATATTCTTCATATTGTAGCGGTAGAAATGTTTAAGACTAAGTCATTGGATTGACTAGACTTTATACAAATCAAAAATAAAAATTGCCACTGCGCTTTATTGTTTCCAAAGGAATGAGAAAAGAGCGAATAATCCAAAAAGATGGAAAGATTCAAGGTAAGGGGGTTGGTTATGCAAAGGGAAGATATTAGCACCCTAAACATCTACAGTACTCTGCAGGAACCTCTTTGTAAAATATGTATATTTTGGCTATAAAAAAAGGTGTTATATATAAAATGGATGGTGGAGGTGAGAAAAGAAATATATTTTTTATGATTTTTGTACCCGCCGCGGTTGCGAACCTTTAGTGCCTACGTACCACCTTTCGTGCAATAGGAGATCAGGGTACACGTAGTTCCTCTTTTAAAAGTTTGAAACACAAGTGTGTTGGTTAATTTTAAGAGATAAGATATCATCGTCATTGTCCGTGTGTAAAACATACTTACTACCCACAATCATGAGAAAAGAGAATTTGCATCATCTCAAAGTGGAGGATATGGCTTGGATTTTAAAATCAACAATGCCTCACTCAACACCCAAGTGGAAAATATCTCTCTTCACTACATATTGTAGAAGTATATTTGTTTGCATCACTACAAAGATTGACAAGAGTCTAACCTTTTGAAAAAAGTTTAAAGATAAAAGCCAAAGTAGCAAAAATGGTTTGAAATGAGATTGATTGACTTTTAGTCTTCTCACAAAAATGTCAAGGTATTATTAAATAGATTGAAGTTTATTTATGAAAATATTTTGAAAATGCATGGACCTAAGTCCAAGTTTATTATGAAAGTGGTTTAAGTTTCAAAACAAGAAAAAATTTCAAAAGGAGGGAGAGGATTTTTGAAATTAAAGAAGATGGGAGGAGAAGAAGAGACTATCCTAGAGCATAAGGTAAAAACTAAGGATAAGAACCATTTAACCAACAAGAAGCCAAAACTTGACATCATGAGCCAAGATAGAATTCTCATTCTTTGGATTGAAACCAAACAAGCAAAGATACTAGACCTCTTCAAATGTAGAGTCTTTACAAAAATTGGGCAGAGTAACAACTGTATACATGTGAATTCCAGATTACAAACAAATGAGGTAATCACAAAAACATGCACACAAAAACAAACAAGCAACCCAAAGTCTTGAGGTAAACCTCACGAACTCCAGACAAAATAATCAGATAAGGTCACAAGGTCTCTAAGATAGGCCAAAGTTTCTAATCCTAAGTCCAAGAAAAAGTCTATTGCTCAATAATGCCAAGGATAGTAACCAAATAGTCCAAGTACCATTAAGAGTTTTTTAGGGTTTATGTTGATTA